GACTAGCCGAGCAACAAGGGAGGGCAAAATCTTAAACCCCATGCCTCCTTTTCTCTCCAAAATAAAGACTTGCGCGTACCAAGGGGCTGTGTGGCCGCCTGTGTACAACTACACTTTCTTAGTGTTCCTGAAAACGTTATTATCCAGGAGAAATTTACAAAAAGACAAATTAAGTTCTCCTTTTGTACTACAAATTTAATTACTTTTTCTTTCCCTGGATATACGATAGAATTTACTTATCATTCGATATTACAACATAATTGTGCATCAGACATGTACAACTAGAGGGAACTTCTCAGAACCTAGGTTCCGACCTGCTATACTCTCTATCTCTGTATACTGTCAGTGTCTTTTGTACTGTTAGTCGTTTTTTCATCTTTAATAAAAAGCATTTACGTTGCCTTTCGCAGTTTCTGTGTTCCTTTTATTTAGTTTGTTATTGGACGAACGTACTAAAGTTTTTACTAACTTAGTTGCAAACGACCACGTCCTACGAAAGTCGAGTTGACTGCTTAAGTAGAGACTCATTTGGTGTCTTTTGGTTTCTCCTCGTCCTCCGTGTACTCTCCTTCTCCTCCTCCTCACTCCTCCTCCCTCCCTCCTTCCAAACAATAAAAGGACAAACTAATATTTAGTCAGGAGAATAAAGTCTTAGACTGCCGGTCAACTTGACAATCCTCGTAAAACTTACTACTCACACCATGCGAAACCTGTGTCTCATTCAGTACCTCTGTCCTTTTGGGGTTGATTTTTTGTTCAGCCGCGCCAATCGTCGCCGGCGTTGACGGGACCTCTCTTGTGCACTTTGGTGAAGTCACAAAGATGGGAGAATTAGAGCCCAGCAAACGAAACCCCTCTAGAGACTAAACAACCACAACGACAGTGAGTGAGTTCGTTGGGGTGGACGTACTCGGCGCTGTCAAAAGGAAACATCGTCGCCGTTTTCTAACATTGACTGACAAAACTCAAGTAAACGGATAAGTATAGCGTGCAAAGAAAAAATTAATGCAGGACGCCTCACTTTAATTTATAGCGATTACGCGTATAACTCTAATAACAGTGCTTTGCTGACAAGCACGGTCGGATATTCTCACGGTGTCACTGCGTCAGGGATTTTGGGCCTTCATTCAACTAAAATGGTGAACAAGAATAGCTGTTTTCGTTAGGTTAGAGAGCATCCCAAATCCTTTCATAGACTTGATTCCAGACACCAACTCCTGTGTAAATTCCCTGCCTAGTCAAAACAAGATGCGTAATTTAGGTAGTCGTCCTGGGTGACCCCTAAAGAACTTCTCAACTGCGTCGGGACAGACTTTTGTGGTTGGTCCTAATGCTGCTTTACGTCGATCGTTCTTTCTCCGGTTTTGTTCAGATGAACTGGTTCGAGGAGAGAAACCGTACACGGTGGTTTCGGGATATTTTAGTCCTTTCGAAAGTGTTCGTCGCAGCAGGTGGGAGCCTTGTGACTCGTGTTCGTCACTTTCTCAGTGAGTCCACCCTTCTTTCTGAACTGTGGAAGGGTAGTCGTTGTTGTTACCTCGAGTTCCGACCGGCTACCCGGACGGTGGGACCTCGTCGTGTTGCGCTACACCTTACATTTATCCTTATCTAGACCACAACACCCTGCACGGTTTTCGGTGAGAGCGGTTTACCCCTATGGATTTACTGCCCCTGCATGTGACACACACGTGACCGCCGTAAACTTGGCGATATGACGTAATATCTGAAATGTGGACCCACGGCCCTATCAGAAAAGTTGCTATCAGAAACAATGCCCGACTGTTTTGGACGTAATATGGTCAGTGTTTACATTAGCATCGCTAACACTCAGAGCTAACCTGTACTGGAGAGCATGTGTGTGAAGAAGCAGGAAGTAAAAAGGAACTCACCTTGTGGTATAACCGGCAAGAGAGAAAGCCTTTGAGCTCCATACTGTTTCAGAGAGAATCCTTGATAATCCATGATATGGCGTTTCATCACGGCAGTATTTAGTTTAGACGGTAGCTGCCGGGTCCCGCATGAGCTCAGACCCCTCCTTTTTTATTTTTTATTAAAAAAATGTAAAGCTTTATACCCCAATTCAGCACTTTAGAAACAGGAAGTGAAATAGAGGGATATGAGGCATGGCTAGAATGGGTGATCTGTTTGGTATTTTGAGCAAAACACTTCATAGACATGTTTTTTATATATTTTTATATATCTGAGACCTATGCTATTGCCTAAAAATAGTATGATAGGTGACCTTTAAGTCAAATGTAAGAGTTCATACATAAAATATTCCATTATGTTATGGATGCCAGATTAGATTTATTTGTATTTATTATTATTTTTGTAATTTAATTTGTATTATTTAACTTTTTAAGGCACTCAAACATATACATGTTAAAATTCATAAAAAACATATTCAAGCTTTAAAAAAAAATAGTAATTGAAACATTTAAGGCTATTAAAATTAATCCAATACAAATTATTTGATGTGTTTTTAAAAAAATAAAAATAAAAAAAAAATGTAAACCGTGGAAAAACTATTTATGCCACTTAAAATTGAAAAAAAGTAATTGAGGATAATCTCCTGCAGTGTCGTGGTCCAGTGTGGAGCTGTGTAGAGCTGCTCTGACTGTAAGCTGCTTCTCTGCTGTCTACCTCCCTCTACCACTCTCTGTCTTTCCTCTCTCTCTCTCTCTGTCTGTCTCTATCTCTCTCTCCTCACTCTGTCACTCTGTCTCTCTTTCTGTCTCCCCTCTCTCTGCCGGGTCTCTGACATCCATCCGTCCGTCTCCCTCCTATCTCTCTGTCCATCCAGGCTGGATTGATGTAACCTGGGATGCTGGCGGCTCTAACTCTTACCGTATGGGCGCTGAAGGGAAGTTTGACCTCAAGCTTGCTCCAGGGTACGACCCTGAGTCGGCTGCCACAGCGCCGTCACCCAAACCTGTCTCATCCACTGTTTCAGGCCCCGCCTCCTCCACGGTGGGACCCTCCTCGACGCAGGCAGCCATTGGCGGCATCAACATCACCACCACCACCACGTCCTCTTCGTCCTCCTCCACCTCGTCTTCCTCGCAGCAGCAGTCGTGGAGCAGCCTGGTGAAAAATAACTGTCCCGATAAGGGCGGGGCTACATCGCTGGGAGGGGCGAGTTCCTCCAGCAGGAAGGGAAGCAGCAGCTCCGTCTGCAGCGTCGCCTCCTCCTCCGACATAAGCTTGAGTTCTTCTGCCGGGCTGCAAGGCTTGGGGGGAATGCGGATGGACAGGAGGGCCGAGGGGCTTCTGCTGGACCAGGGTTCAGGGTTAGGAGGACTTATGGGGATCGGGGTCGGCTCCGACGGACACCTTCTGGAACCAATCGTCATGCTTTCCTCAGCGGCGGAGGGAGGGTCCGGTTCCAGCTCCGGCACGCTAACCGCCGACGGTTCTGCCCCTGGAGACGAAGCCCGAAACAAAGACTCTTCCACGGACCCGGCCACAGCGATCTCCATGGGGCTGGTCAGCGTGAGTTCCCCCGACGTCAGCTCGGTGTCGGAGTCTTCCAGCAAAGACACGCCTTCCCAGAGGCCTCTGTGCTCCGCGGCTAACGCCAGACTGTCCGTGAGCTCCCTGCTGGCGGCCGGCGCTCCCATGAGCTCCAGCGCCAGCGTTCCCAACCTGTCGTCCCGCGAGGCCAGCCTCATGGAGTCCTTCGTCCGCCGCGCGCCCAACATGTCGCGCACCAACGCCACCAACAACATGAACCTGAGCCGCAGCAGCAGCGACAACAACACTAACACACTGGGCAGGAACGTCATGAGCACTGCTAGTGAGTACTTCCATATTACTGCACTAATACTATACTGTTACTGGAGGTGAGTACAAGTACTACACCCGTGATGGAGTCTTTTTGCCATCGGGATAAAACCTTTAAAGGACAGAAAGTGAACACATCTTTCTTTAGCAGCTGGTGTTTAGAGTGAAACTGTTTGCTAATGTAGTTTGATCTAACTTTGCAGCACTTACTAACTTTAACAACATTAAACTAGTAACTGCTCCCTTTGCTGACTGTAGAAAACATTTCACAACCTTGAAGCTGTGTTCATAAATATTTGTTTGTTTACTGATTATCTGACTGTACTTTTAAATCTATCAAACTGTTATACCAGTCATCTTAAAGGCAACTGGAAAAATCCAAAGCAAGAACATTGGACTAGAAACAGATCAAATTCTTCAAGTAGTGAAATTAAATGTAATTTTCTCATTTCTCTATCATTGCTTTTCATCATCTCTCCCTTTTTTGGCTAGTTACCAATCTGTCATTTGAAGGTGAGTAACATAAAATAAATCAAAACCCAAGTCGGTTATAATAATCAATATCAAGCAAAATGATGAATGTAGCTGCATAGTGTCTTCAAAACAAATCCCCCTTAATGTCCCTAGGCTTTTAGAAAGTGGTGTCTTTAGAGCAGACATGTTTAGCTACCATGAGACAAAGCTGGAACCTGCTAACTGCAGTAGAAATGTGAGTACAGTTCTAGTAATATGCCTGGAAATATTTCCGTGGACGAGAAGTCAAAGTAATCTGCAAACAAAGACTTCGTCCAAATTCTGCTCAGAAATCTCTAGAATCATTTGTCTTAGCCAAGTTATGGTTTTAGCACAGAAGTCCCATTCTTTAATTCAGATTAATATTGAGACCTGATGTTGAGTTAGACCTTAAACCAGGATCTCCAGTTTGCATCCTGCTGTGCTAACAGCATGAGCATCCTCCAGCCAATTAGCAGCTGTTTCCAGTCAGCTGACAGAAAGTTAACCGCTGCTGCTTTGTTTCTGACAAACTAACCGCCCCTTTGTTTGTTTGTTTGTTTGTTTGTTTGTTTGCAGCTTCTCCTCTCATGGGTGCTCAGAGCTTTCCTAACCTCACCACCACTGGCACCACATCCACCGTTACCATGTCAACCTCCATAGTAACCAGCAGCAATAACGTAGCCACGGCCACCACTGGTCTGTCGGTGGGCCAGTTGCTAAGCAACACCCTGACGACCAGCCTGACGTCCACGTCTAGCGAGAGCGACACAGGCCAGGAGGCCGAGTTCTCGCTCTATGGTTGGTGATATTAACACATATATTAACACACACACACACACACACACACCACACACCACACACCACACACCACACACCACACACACACACACACACACACACACACACACACACACACACACACACACACACACACACACACACAGAGCCAGCTTCATCTAACCGGCTGTCTAACAGGCTTTCTACGGTAGTCCTTGTTTAACCATGTAAAATAGTCTAACAGCGTTTGCACATACACTGATTATAATACTTTCCAACCTCCCCCGCCTTGATTTGAACTCCTCTAGGGTCGCGTTTAACTGAATCATTACAACATCTGCACAAGAATTAATTGAATTACAGAGTTAAATTACAAATATACAGCGTCATTGGGAATCATTCAGCCGTGTCAACTCCTATTTTTCACGGAGGCTTGAGCTGATCAAGCTGCTTATTATTGATGCAGCCCAAATGGGGCCTGCAGCTCAAGAGAGGGGTAACATTACATTTAATTTAGCTTCTAATTCATGTTTTAGAAGAATGGTTGCTGAATATTGATTTTCTCGCACAATAACGAAAAGAGGGACAGTTAAAGATCGGAGTTAGTCATCCACCAATAGCTGTCCAGTGCCATATGTGTCAAAAGTTCATTAAACAAATGGAAAATGTAGATACTGTGACACCATTAGCTGATGGTCAATCAATTAAAATATATTATCTCTATAAATTGGTCTCGAGCTGGACTTTCAGATGTTCCTTCTCCGTTTGGACGACGTCGTGTTAAGACTTTTGACTCACTTTTTTTTTCACTCTCGTGCAGACTTCCTGGACAGCTGCCGTGCCAACACGCTATTGGCTGAGCTGGACGATGAGGAGGACCTCCCAGAGCCCGACGACGACGATGACGAGAACGAAGACGACAATCAGGAGGACCAGGAGTACGAGGAGGTCCTGGTAATACACCTTTTTATATATTGGATCTTAAAGGTCACCTATTATGCAAATTCTCTTCTTCATGTCTCTTCTACATCAACATGTGTCCCCTCTTCTTCATGTCTCTTCTACATCAACATGTGTCCCCTCTTCTTCATGTGTCTTC